TCCCCCTGCTTTTGTTCTTTCTCTCTCGCTGACAAATAAATAAAATCTTTAAAAAAAATCTTGCTCAAAAAGGTGTAAACTTCTAATTTTAAACAATATAATTTTCAGGCACATCCTCAAAAAAAAAACCCTACTGCGATATATATCTAAGTAGTTGAATAAGGTAATGAACTATAAGGCAATCAAATGTTGGGAGAAAACTACTACTGCTGCTACTACTAACTTTGGTTTTGAATGAAATATCCTTTCTTTTTCTTTTAGAGTTGATTTTTTTTAATTGCGATATAATTGACATATTAGTTTCAGGTGTACAATGTAATGATTTGATATTTGTATATACTGCAAAATGGTCACCACAATAAATCTAACATCCATCACCATTCATAGTTAACTTTTTTTCCCTTGTGATGAGCTCTTTTAAGACCTACTCTCCTAGCAACTTTCAAATATGTGATACAATATTGTTAACTACGATCAGTGCTGTACCTTTTCTGACAGTATTTAACCAGTCAGGGTCAACAACTTATTAAGGATATTCTGAATTTCCATAATAAAACCATGTCATCTTCATGTAAAAGATTATTTATCTCTCTGTTCTCTATGGTGAGATGTAGTCCACATCTGGTTAGTAGAACAGTAAAATTTTTGAGATGTGAAGTTCTTTGTTCCTTTGATGGGAAGATTTTGGGGTTGGGGAGGGGTTGGGCTTTGCTCCTCATTTTGGGAAATATTTCCTTTTTTATTGTTTTTGTAATAAATAAAAGTTCGAATTTAAATTTTATGAATTATGATGTGTTCTTTCCTCTTCCTTTTTAAACCAGCATCACAATATAAAGATGGTCTAAATCAAGTACATGTTGCTGGGTGGGAAGGTTTTACCTCATACGAGAGGAATCCTGTCTTTACCTGAGCATGGCCACAAAAGATATCTTATCTTGTTATGCTTGGACTTGTACCAAGGATCCAGGAAGGATCTATAAACCTAACACAAAGGATCGTGTGTAGTTAGTGTAACTCTGACGAGGGATATTGTTAATTTTCTTCCAGGATCACATTTTCATCTAATTTAGAATTCCCATTTGATAACCTAAAAACCTTGAAAGTTGGAGGTAGCTCTTCCTTTACACTTGACCATGACCTTTACACAACAGAAAAGGAAACAGAACTGGATAGGGAACCAGAAAGTGCAGGCTCCAGTCTTGATCTTGCTGCTTGCTAGAGATGACTTAATCTCTTTGTCTTAGTTTCTTCAACTCGGCAAGTTAATATCCCCTGCTTCAGAGTTATTACATTTTGAAAAGCATAAGACAGAAGGTAAATATAGCCTAACATTATATTAGTAGTAACTTATTTTTAGATTGCATTCTAAATATAAAAGATAAAGCATATAGTATAGTGGTGCTTAGGCTTGGGAAAAATACAGGGAAGTGAAGTCAGCAAAAACTAAGAAATGGGAAAATGGACACATTGGTAATTAGAGATTTTTTAAAAGGGCAAAGTTTCGATGTTAAAAGGTCACTATAACCCTTTAAGTTGTTTTTCTAACTTTATCATACATTCTTAATTTAGATGTAGTAGACATCTGTTGTATTTTTCTACCTCGTAACCTGCCCCCTTCTGGCAACAGCAATCGCTTTCCTTGAAGAACTGCTTTTCCCAAACTCCATGGCTTTCTGTTGGGCTGCTTTAGTGATGTTACTTTATTCAACTGGCTAGGGGTGGGTATTCCCAGGAATTTGCAGGTGACCCAAGCCAGGGAAACCAGTACCCTTCCTTGAAATTGTTTAGATAGATCCTGATAGGGGGAAATCTCTTTTCTCTGGAATTCTAAGTGGGATTTTTAAAATTTTGGAACTCTTTTGTCTGTATAATAAACAACTATATCCTCTCATTCTACCTTTCTTGCTGCATAGAGACCCTGGTGGTTGGGCACTAGTATCATTTTTAGGGGATCTGAAACCATTTCTCCCACACCTTCACATTTTTCTTCTAAACACTACATCTGTTTACTAGATAATGTAGTTTGTAAGCAGTTAAGAACATGTATTATTAAAGGGCTGCAGAATTTTTTCATATTCCAGGTTTTTATTCAGTTCTACAAAATTATTTGAGTTTCATGGTAATTTAAAATAACTGTTTTCTTCAACTGTGATTTAGAATAACATACAGTGGGTATCAATTAGAAAACTTTCAACTTATTAATTTAAAATTACAAAGTCATTTGTAATGACTGAGAAGTAACTGAGAAGCTAGAGTTAAAAAATGTCTTAATTATTTTGCAGAACTTTTTTTTAAACAGGGTAACCTCAGGGTGCCTGGGTGGCTCAGTCGGTTAAGCTCTTGATTTCTACGCAGGTCAGGTCATGATCTCAGGGCTGTGAGATTGAGCCCCACGTTGCACTCCCTGATGGACCTGGAGCCTGCTTAGGATACTCTCTCCCTCTCCCTCTCCCTGCCAAAAAAAAACCCCCACAGGGTAACCTTGAGTAAAAAAAAATCTCACACACTTTCACTTTTAAAAAAAAATACCAAGTCTATTTAGTAAACAGTAAAATCTTCAGGTACCTAAAATACTTTATTTGTTATCACAAAATATCTAATTAGCATTTAAATTTTCCAAATTGTCTTAAAATTTTTATTTTAACCTTTGTTTTGTTTGAATCAGAATTCAAACAATGGAGCAAAGTTGTTGTTGTTTTAATTTTTTTTATTAAGCCCTCGGCCTAGGCCTGGTTACATTTTACCTCTCTCCAAAATAGATATTTCCTTGTCACATTCCCATGTGACAACAGAATTTAGAAATTAATTCAAAGTCTCTTTATGTGCTTTACAAATATCAGATGAGGTTCTGGTAATGAAATTTTGGGGCAGAAGTAATAAAGTTACCCTTGGACATTAGAATCCAAAAGGGAGCAGCGACAGCAAACATTTATTTTGATTTTGCAAACTTTGGTGTTTCCTTACCTTTATCTGTTTCAACCTGGAAGAAAACAAAAGGAGCCCCACTGTTTGGTTTGCCAATATCTAATAAAATATTGAAAATTTCTAAGGGCAAATGCATTAATATATTTACTTAAATATATTTGTTAGAAATACCTTTACAACTAACATTCTTTATTTACAACTAACATTCTTATCTTAGTCCTATATGCCTTGGTTCTCAAGTACAATGAAAGAGAGAATATCATCCTCTTTAGGTATAAATGAATATATTTATTTTGCTTCAACTCGAATACGAAAGGATTAAAATACTGTTACCCACAGTCCCACAAGTTTCTTCTTCCAAAGCGGAGGTGCCAAGGGATGAGGGGTTAAGAGGCTTTTAGTCATGCATCACCTTCACCCATCTCATCAAATAAATGAACAATACAAGTGATCCATGTGCCTGTTAAGCAAACTCAGCATTCTGGCAAGACAAACTCAGTATTTTGACAAGACCCCCCCCCCGCTCCCCGAACCAGACCATTATCCTTAAAGTACTCTTGGAGTTAACACTGACCCCAACCATAGTAATCTAACAAACACTTACTTCATTATTTCAGATCCCCATTCTCTTAACGGAGCTACTGAATCCAAACCTAGGTATGGGGTTTTTTGTTTCTTTTTGTGGGGTTGGGCTTTTTTCGAGCGGGGGGGTTGGGGAGGCATATATTTATTATTCTCACTTTACTATTAAGATCTGGAAAGGTTAAAAAAAAATCTGTCTCATGAGCATCCACTAATTGCATCCACTTTACCTGGGGACTCCAGACGTTTAAAAGCCACCCACCCCGGCCGTCCACTTTTACAGCACCCTCCTTTCCCGGTCCTTCCTTGTCATATCAGCACTGGGTAAGTGCCCAGGTTCTGATCTGGGACTAAAACTCATGATTTTCTGGCTCAGGTTCTGTGAACTGAGTCATTCTGGCACGGAGAATATTCCGTGACTCAGCAAGCCCGAAAAGGAGGATGTCAGATCCAGATAATTTCGAGTCTTTTAAAGGCAAGATGGGGAACATAAACAACACAGTGGAAGAATTTCGCAGTGGGTCTGCCTACCCAGGGGAAAAATGTCACTCCATTCCCAGCCCTTTCACTTCCTTCTCTGCCCCTATTAAAGGATGGGTTACACTTTAATTCAGAGGCAGGAAATTGCTTCAGAAAATTCATTTTGATGCGGGGACCAAGGCCCTTAATTCTCCGGGGACCATGTCGGTCCCCGGACACCCCGGGACCTCTCCCTGGAAAAGGCTAGAGCCCCGCCCCGCGCAGCAGGGGGCATTCCCGGGGCGGCCGGCGGGGCCGAGGAGCCTGCGGGCAGCTCCCACCGTCCGGTTCCTCGGGTCCCGGCCCCAGGGCGCGGCCGGCTGGACGCAACGACCGACACCTGGTGGCGCGGAGATCCGCCTTGCCGCGGCCCAGGTTGGCGCGGGGCCCAAAGGCCGATTCCAAGTGACCTCACCGACCCAGCGTCGCCCCTCTAAGGCTCCCTCCATTACCCCTTCCCCCAACCGGAGTCCTCCGGAGACGCGGAGCCAGGGAAGCCCGGCGTCCAACTAACCCCGTGCGCGGGCTCTCCTCAGCCTCGCCTTCCCTCCCGGCATGCACCGCCCCGCCGCCCCTCCCTCCCCCGCTCTCCCTCCGCCTCTCTTCCCCCTCCCATTCCCCAGTCCCCCACCCACCCCTTCTCTCACTCCCCGCCCACCCCTCGCGCCCCTCAAGGCCCCTCCCCCGCCGATCCCGCGCCGCGGGCCCGAGCGCGAGATGCCGCCGCCCCCGCCGCCGCCGCCGCCGCCGCCGCGAGTCACCCGGGCGGACGCTCAGTCCACGGCGCGAGGAGGGCGGGGGAACAGCGACGGGGGCCGCGGGAGCTGTTGAGAGGAGGCCGGGGTTAGGCTTTCTCCTCCGCCAGACCCCACCCCACTCTGCCGACCCCACCCCCTGCTCCTTCCTCCCCGGGGGCGCGCTCTCGGGCCCGCGCTCGGAAGTCGGGGGTCGGCGCCGAGTGCGGGCTGTGTAGCGGGTGGGTGAGGGAGGCGCGGAGGCGACGAGCCGGGCAGTGGTCAGCGAGCCGCGCGGTCGTCGCCAGCGGCGCCCACTGGCCCGTCTCTCCAATACGAGCCGCCGCCACCACCCGCCCCGAGAGTCCGGCCCCTGGGCCCCGAGGCTCAGCCCGCGGAGCGGCCTCCCCGGGACACCGCTGGGCGAGAGGAACGCGCCCGCGCCCTTGCCTTCGCCGTGGCCCAGCGCGCGGGCGGCGGGATGAGGGGCAGCGAGCCGGCCGCCTCGGGGCTGCGGCCCCGGGGGCGGCTCTGGCCGGTGTTGGCGCTGCTGGCGGCCGCTGCGGCCGCCTGCGCCCGGGCAGCCATGGACGAGTGCACTGACGAGGGCGGGCGGTCGCAGCGCTGCATGCCCGAGTTCGTCAACGCCGCCTTCAACGTGACCGTGGTGGCCACCAACACGTGCGGGGCTCCGCCCGAGGAGTACTGTGTGCAGACCGGGGTGACCGGGGTCACCAAGTCCTGTCACCTGTGCGACGCCGGGCAGCCCCACCTGCAGCACGGGGCAGCCTTCTTGACCGACTACAACAACCAGGCCGACACCACCTGGTGGCAAAGCCAGACCATGCTGGCCGGGGTGCAGTACCCCAACTCCATCAACCTCACGCTGCACCTGGGTAAGCGGTGACAGCCCTGTTCCTGCTACTGCTCGCCAGCAGCCCAGCTCCCTGGCCATCTTCATCTCCTGGCCCAGCCTGCGGGGCCCAAACAGCCGCATGCTGGCTCTCTGCTGCCCAGCATGGGCCACACAGATACTCCCTTTTCCAACTTCTAAACTGGATCTAGCACTTAACATTCCGCTGAGGGCCAGGATGCCTCGCGCTAGCATCTTTGTGTGCTTTTCTGTTCTTTCTAATTTAACCAGATTTTCGCTTCCTTAATGATTCGCCATTTGGGCTGTTTTTTGTCCCTATTTTTCGGAAGCGTTAATCAGAAACCCCTATTCTCGCTTTTCTCCCTCCTCGCAGGGCCATCACGGAGCGTTCTTGGATCAGAGATAGGAAGGTCCACCTTCAGCACTTTTATCTTGTTTAAATGCCTGTCTCTCCAGGATTGAGCGTGATTGCTGTTTGCTCTATTGAATAAGCTAGAGAGCAAAGGGTCTCTAGTGAAGGGAATTTGAGAGAAGCAAATGCTTTTACTACCGGTATGGCCTATTTGTAACTAAAATAGAAATTCGCTTTTAAAGTTATTGTTCTTTAGAGATGTTTAGCGTTAATTAAGGGCCACAAAACTATTTCACTGCTACTCCTGGAACAGAGAAAACAAAAGAAAGTGTGCACTCACTGTAATTTCTGGCCACAGTTTGGTCCCTGGGTATAAAGGCTCTCCTTACTGTCTTTCCTTTTACTTTGATTCAAAACAAGTGTAGCAACATGTATGAATGACCTTTTAGAAATCAGGAAAAGGATGTATAGAAAACTTTGTTGCTGGGGGTAGATGAGGATGGACATTTTATCCTAAGGTAAAAAAAAACACGTTTGGTCTAAGTTTTTCTTCATCACTGAACTATATAAACAAGCAGAATAATTCATTATTGTGTTTAACAGAGTAAAATATGTGTGAGAAACTGGCATCTGATTTGTAGGGCTGCAGTCCCCATTGCATTGAAATAATTGATTTTCCTGGTAGCTGGTAGTAATGAACTTCCAGAGAGAACATAGGGCCCAAGCCATTCTTCAGTCAAAGCCAGATCATTCTATAAGGCTAATATTATTTGAGGGTCTTTGAAAGCAATGTTTTATAGGCAAATAGTTCTTTTGGTCATGGTTTTGCATTTTTCTTTCCACTGCTCTCTGGCACATTAAACTTTATGTAAGTGTCAAGATTCCAGAGAAAGAATATAACTTACCAAAAGTACCTGGAAAAGTAGTTAAATTACTGTGTGTGGAGTTTTAGAAAAGCAGTGTTTAGCACCTTTGTAATACCATTTTGTTTCTAGACAAGTTATTAGGAAGATGAACTTTTGGAAAATAAGTTCATAAAGTGAAACTCTGGGGCACCTGTTTTTCAGAGGTGGAAGAAGTAAACTGTACTTCAGTGTTTTAAAGGTATTGGAAATGCCTAGAACCAACAGTATGTTGGAACAGGTGCCTTTCTAAGACACAGCAAGAGACCTAGGGTCTTCTAAGACTTCATGGGAATACTCTTTAACTCTTTAGACAACTATATGCTCTTAGGTGTTATATTTTTAAACTTGGCCAAAATTATTTTTGAAATTTATATCCAATTTTTGTGGAAATTTTGACTTATTAAAGTTTCTGTGTTGAATTTGGAATGCCCACAAAGTTTTATTTTATTTTCAAATACTAAAAATTTCAAAGTGAAAGCATTTGCTCGATGTCTCAAAGTGCCTGAGATTCAACTGAAAATTTCAGAATACGAATCTGTTATTTAGGTAAAGGTCAGGCTGTCAATCTTGGCCTTCTGAGTTTTCTGCTGTGGGCACTGTGTAGCAAAAGGTTATTTCAGGTGATTGCAGAGGTAGGTAGATTACTCAGAGATTATTTCTCTGTTACAAAGGTAAAAGATAAGACAGTAACAGTCAAGTTAGGTTGTTACTGTTGGGGAGCAGATATATTAATTTTGTGTCGTGGTCATTTAAAGGTCAAAAGAAATCTCGGAGGCCATCTACTTAGGACTCTTACATGACTTTGTGCCCTCAAAATGTATGCTTGGACTTGTTTTTGCTGAAAAAGTCTTCTTCAGTTTTTGGTAATATTCGTGGTAAATGAAGTTTATAAAACTATGGGTTTAAAAAAGTTATTTAAAATAGTTTCCATATGAGTATTGTGATTAACTTGTGAAAACATTTACTTGAGACTTTTAAGATAGTTTCTAAAAGCCTGACTAGAACTTACTGTACTTTTTCTTGGATCCTAAATGATGTCCCAGAGGAAGTTGTGTGTGGTGCAAAAGGTGGAAAAGGGGAGGGAGATTTGTGTGTCGTGGGGGTGATGTCTCAATGTCTCTCTCCCTCTCCTCTCTCAGTATCTCCTCTCTCTCTTTCTCCCCCCCCCCACTCCTTTTTTAATGACAAGGATGTATGTATACATGCAAGTTATGATCTAGAACGTATAGGCAGGGCTTTATGTATCATTATGTATTTTGATGTTCAGCATATTCAGTTCCTAACTTGAGTTACTCCATGGGCTCTAGCTCGCTGTTTCCCATGAATTCAAGTACCATGACTGTTTGTGCATCTATTAAATCTCCCATCCAGTTCAAATTTCACATACCCTTAAGCAAGTGATGCATATTGTGCTTTGCCCTTACAGAGCCTGTGAAACTCCAAGAGAGCAGTGTGAAAGAAGCAGGGCTAGCCAACACTTCTCTCCCCTCCCTTTTGATGTTGAACTTTAAATGCAGTAAACTTTAAAATAAGCAAAGTCAGACTGCACTTACGTCGTTACAAGAAACATACATGTTTTGGCATTAATCATAGGTCATTTTTTTACTGTAAAAATAAAACATGACATGGTGAATTAAAAGTTACATATAATGACTAGGGAATCTCTTCCTCTTCAGTTGCTAAGTTGGAAGAGACCACCATTCACAATTTCTCATGCAGCCTTCCAGAAACTTTTCATGCATACATATGTATATATAAAATTATGTTATTGTTTTAACTGCTACCATTTGGAGGGGGCGGTCAGTAAGGCAGATTTTAACTGATGGCAAGGACAAATTAGATCATTGTACCATTATCATCACTTGTACAGAAGCCAGGAAAGTCAGTGTGGATTCTGAAAGCAGCCATGTCTTAAGCACCATATACAGTAATCCAGGGTGCAGTGTATCCTCAGATATAATCAGTTCAAGTTGCTGTGGGAACAAGAATTGCATTTTCTGTCTGTTGTGGAGAGAAATCTCAGCCAGGCACCCTGTTCTAAAAAGTTTTATTTTGCATTCAACTTCTGGATCTTCTTTCCTAACTTCTGTATGGATTATTCAACTGGTGTTTAAAAGTTTGGCTTTTATGTTATATAATAAGTCATAATAAGTTTTATTAGTATCAGTGGGATAGTTGATAGTAAGATTGTAGCTGAGGATTTGACTTTTATTAAACAGCCTTTTTAATTAACTTGATAGTCATTGCGGATGGAAACTTGGCAGGCTGGGTCTGAATCTTAGAGGAAGGTAACTCTCCCCCTTTCTGAAAACAATTAGATTAAGGAAGAAACTGCTTATAAACCAACTCAATCAAAGTTTATGGAACTCCTAAAATTTACACCAAGACCAGATTTGTTTCCAACCTCCTTCTATAAGCTTTAGGAACAGTAATTAAATAATGCTTTTTTAGGTATATCCTTTTTGTGTGTCTAAATCAGAATAATTGATATGTAAGGATATTGCATTTTATTCTGTTCCTTTCAGTGTATATTTAAAATGAAACAAACAGCAATTTTTTTCCCCAGGACAATCTTTGCAAGGTAGGTTCTGACTGTGTCAGGGAATAGTTCACTCTGGTGACTTCACTGTGGTATTTGCACACCCCGAGGGGACACTATTTTAGTTTGTCTCACAAAGGACTGATTTACATGTTGCAGGTTTCAACTTGAGAAGTTAGGGAGCTCTTCTTTAATGGCCAGTGGTAGTTGAACAGTTTTTATAAAGTTGCTGTTGGCTGTTTTCCTTTTCTACAATTCATGGCTTTTTCTGTAAATACCTTCTCCATGTTTCTAAAGCATTCAGAGAAACAATTTATGCATTAGGAAAGAAGTTGGGACTATATGCACCCCCCCCATTATTTTCTCATTGGCCACAGTTGTGGGAGGGTTGGTTTGACTATTTCAGTTCTAAATCCTTTTAGGAAGTTGGATATGCCTTTTGCTATTTGCTCCTTCCCCCCCATGCATACATTCTCATGTTACTGCCAAATATTCTGCAAACATTTTTTAAATACCTACTAAATACATAATAACAGTACCTGATAGGTATACAGGATTGAAGATTGTGTCTTCAGAAGTTTACACTCTTAGATGGAATTTTCGTATGCTGTCGTAATGATAATAAATCAGGAGTGCTTTTATAATATTTTACACTTTATGAAACTTTCAGTTTATCACTGATTAGACTTCCACAATTCAGTGAAAGCAAAGATGAGGATCCTGAGGTGGTGATTTGCCAAGAGTCACAGTGGAGGTAGGTTTTTGACTCCTTAGTCTATTGCACTAACCCTTGCAACTCTTAGCTTCTTTAACAGATCTTTCAAAAGAATGACTAGTTTATTCCAGGCCAGCATTAAAATACAAGTTCATGTACACACTGATTTCAGAGATATCAGACTCCCTTGCTTTTCCTCCTTTTCCCTCTGTTCTTTTTCACTTATATTTTTGGATTCCTTTCCTTTTCATGGGACTCACTTTCCTTGAGTGAATTCCTCTTAGTCTCAAGGCATTATTTAGTGTTTGCAAATTAATAAATTCTAAACTTGTATCTCTAGGCCAGCTCTTACTCCAGTCCTAAAGACTTATTGGACATGGTCAGTTTGGGGTGTCCAAAGGCCATGTCCAAAACTATATTCATTCTTCACTGTCTTACCCAACTCAAAGTCATATTTCAATGAATGCACTACTGTTTAATCCTGAGGCTCTAGACCAGTTTTTTGCCAAGT